TATATACACACACACGTATGATTATAAATATGTATTTCTGGGCTAGAGTACACCAGACGACCCAGACTCCAGACTCCAGACTCCAGACTGCCATAGAACTTGAACTTTTGAAGGCAGGGAAAAAAAGTGATAAAAATTGTAGAGAAAAAAACATCTTGCAGTACACTGAGTTCAGATTTTTCATTTCAGGGCTCCTGGTTCTTTTGTTGTCCCATGTCTGATGTCGGGCTTGTCGGCCGTCGGGCATGTCCCAACAACTGAAAGTTTTGTCTAAAAAGAACACCAGGCCTGTGGCCTCAATATTTATACGTTAGGGCTTTACAGAATAAACGACATTCCGTTAAACGCTACACGTCGTCTTCTATACATGTTCCTGGCTGAAAATCGAACTCGATATAGGCTGGTGCCTGGAGAACTCATACATGTCTCTACCAACCGGCGAAAGCGTTAAAAGTTATTTGAATGTGGTAACGCTGAAGATTTGAAAAGACGAGATACGTCATTCGTCGTGGCATAAAATGTCTCACTTCGCAAGTTCACAACTTCACATGGCCTGTTGGTATTAGTTGTTACCTCTGCTTCGGAGGCGAACTGAGTCAGCCGGATTAACTTGAACTACAACTTTCAAAAATGCGACATCTTTTATATTTAATATAGCGGTATGTGTGGGGTTGCTTTCCCCTAGAACCACATCAGCAAAAACCAATTGTACATATGAGGGATTCAAATTTTTTATTATCGGTGCTGTGGAAGTTCAGGAAGGGAAACGACTTACTTTTTACGTATATATGACAATACAGAACGATGGTAAGTTCGGTAGTAACTCAGTTACAACTACAGTTGACAACACGGAAATCACAGTGGTTTCCCGATACTCACGATGAACCATAGAATGACTGTTTTACTATCATTTGTTCGCCTGACCTTCATACCGTTGACATCTTTTCGAGCAACAAATCGGCGTATGTAGTTAAAAATCATGGTCCTTAAGTAGCCAGAACTGCGCTATAAATATGTTATAAACTGCAAGTCAACCACAAAAGTTTAAGAAATTCATACAGCCAAGAAAGCAATACAATTTCACTAAATTGTACGCTTGACCTTCCTACCGTTGTCGTCTTTTCGGGCAACAAATTGGCGTAGTGGGTTAAAAATCATGGTTCTAAAGTAGCAATGACTGCGCTATAAGTATCTTATATACTGCAAGTCAACCACATAAGTTTTAGAAATTCATGCAGTCAAGAAAGCAATACAGTTTTACTAATTCGTAAGCCTGACCTTCCTACCGTTGTCGTCTTTTCGAGCAACAAATCATGATTCTTAAGTAGCAATGGCTTCGCAATAAATATCATATACTGCAAGCCAACTGCAAAAGTTTAAGAAATACATGCAGTCAAGAAAGTTATGTAGTGAATTCCGAAAGTACAGGTTGTAAGACGGAGATGGTACGTAAATTATAAGAGCACATCCACACGAGGTGTCGGGGTGATGTGTTATGTAGCAACTAGCAACTACCCAGCTGTTGCCTGTAAAAGAACTCGTGCAACAAACTGAATGGGGCTTGGACTCTGGTGGGGAGTACTGGAGTCTAGAGAGTAAATAGAGGGTCCTGCCATTCTGGGGTCTGGGGACTGGTGAAACCGTGAAAGGGGTCTGGGAGTGGTGGGTGATAGTTTTTAAAACTTTTGGCGGTCAGGATCGTATGTTCTCATTGGTGCGATGGGAACGATAAACTAAAAACTAAAAATCGTATAAAAAAGTTTGGGGATTTTATTCATTTTTTTAGTTGACAGTAAAAAACTAAAAAGCCAAACGGAATGATTGACTTACAACCATCAAACCAGAGCCAATACAAAGCAAGCAGTAGTTTTTAACCCAATCAATCCAACAGGCCATAAACAAGCATGTATCCAATTCAAAATCTATGAAGATTAACGAAACAAAACATAATGCTACTGAAATGTAATGGCAGGCACAGGCGCACAGCCTTCACGCGTCTGCGCTTTTTTTATTAGTGTAATGTGGGACTCAAGCAGGACTGGCCATGCAACATGTACATCAACACCTCCGGGTGTAGAGTGCATTTTAATCGAAATGTACTGGCGCGCTCGATTCGGTGAGACTAATATATAGTTATTGCACAAAGAGTGCAGCGTTATTCTTGTCCACTTCGGCCTTAGACGCTTGTCACCCACCATACCTGTGCTGTTGCGGAGTATCTATGTTATTTATCTACAATACACGAATAGAGATAGACCAGAACTACGAAAGAACATCAGAAGTTATAACTTTTTGAATTGTTTATTTTCAGTTTAGTGAGCTCACTACAGTCATCGTAAGTCAAACTCTTTTCTGCCACTTAAGGGGAAATATACATAAACGTCATCATGGTTCAATCGTATGGACCAGTCGGTGCAATCGCCATGCAGCACACAAGGTATTGGTTGAAACTAGTCTACATGAGCAGATTTCAATTTGGCGCAACACGCAGTTATACTGCTAGTGAGAGATGTCTAAACATACAACACATAGCTTCAAAATAGTCAATTAGACGTGTGATCGGTGCACAATTGTAGTGTATGTGTCGTATGTTGGACTGTTGAAGCCGCCGATTTGCAGTTGGTAATAGATGAAAAGGCAACTGTGTCTTATTACTGAGGTGTATGTATGTCGTGTTCTGCATATATCGATTAGTGGAAATACTTATGCAGTACTTTATGTGAATTACACATTCAACTATAAGTAGTTGTTGCCCGTTACTTCTATAGTGGTTGCAAGTCAGGCTGAGCTATTAACAACTTGTATCAGAACAAGCATTTCACCAAAAAAATCTGCGCACTCAACATAAGTTGCAATACACGGACTACGCGCGCAATATATGGATGTAGCGTGTACAACACACAGCAACAATAGTGAGCACGTACTGGCACCTTTCAATTGGTATTCGTAATGCACCAATGCTAGCCATTAGTACACATCTACCCACAAATATATAGAAATTCAATGCTAACAATTATTATACATTTGCCCTCAAATATATAGAAATTTTCAGAAAGCTGTTCCCCTGCCGCCTGTATCGCCTCCGGGTTTGCAATCTGGCAGCGACGATTTTATTTCTCCCAAGGGTATGTACAATCGGATTAGTTGTGCTCTATTGTTTAGTTTCTAGGTTCGTGATTTGATGAATTCATGTAGTAGACGCTATCAACTATGCAAAAGGCTACCTATAAAGGACGCACTGCGCATGTCTAGCATTCTCAATGTAAGTGTCTAGCAACTTGCTAGCTGACAGTTTGTATCAGTTTAAATTTTACTGACGTATATGGTTTTAGCGGCGGGTAGTACATGCAAGCCTAAACAAGTAGCATGTGTACCAGCGTAGAATAAACTTGATTAATTTGATTCTCTATCCGTCGACAGTCAGTTCATATTATCTCGTTTATTTTTCTTTGTAGCCCTGCTGGAAAGTGAGGGGGAATTCATGGCCCCGGAAGAACTGGCTGAGCTCGAGAAATGTCACAAGGTATGTGTGGACAACGTAAAATGACATGTACTTCTCGCCTGTGTGTGTTGCGCAGCGCCGCCACGAGGAGGTATATAGATGATAGTAAAACTAAGTATGCTTAAAAGCATCAGGATCCGAGCAAGGATACGGCGTTATAGCGCTGTCAAGCAGATACACTATCCTGTGACCTTTTCGCTCGAGTAAGAATCAGCCTTTGCATTGGCTACACTTTATATGAATATAACATAAACTGACATATTCGATCATTCACAAATGTACATGATTTGCGCATGCTAATATGAATGCGAAACATGCTATTCTGATCCAGGTGTACTACTATGGCCAATTTGCGCGGTGTGGTTCCAAAATATTCGATCCACCGCTGTTCCCAAATTCAAGAACGGGTATATTTCCGTTTCGAATGTTTGCGCATATGAACTTCCGATATGAGATCATCTCAGGCCTGGGCGAGGGATCGTTTGGCCATGTAAGTGAAACATGTACTACCTCGTTAAGACACCTCTGTGTATTTACGCACACAAAAGCACGCGGCGTTTGCTTTACCATGGTGCAATAAAGGATACTACTTCGAACATGCATCTATACCGCTGCACCACTTTCAAAAACGTCGGGAAAATGGTTCTAGTCATCACCGTGTGCACACATTAGAAATACGAGGCGAATTTGCCGGTAGAGGAGCACACCGCACATGCGCACCATCTCTTGATTCTGACGCGTACAATCATACTCATACACTTCACAACATCCAGGTGGTCAAGGCATACGATCACAAGACCAAGACCTTTTGTGCGGTCAAAATAGTACGGAGTGATCCCACCATCCTCGCACAAGCCGAGGAAGAGCGGAAGATTCTCCGACACCTCAACAAAGTGTCGCAGAAGCACCACAATGTGGTGCAGTTGCTGGACTCGTTCCAGTTCTACGGTCACCTGTGCTTTGTCTTTGAGCTGCAGGGCGATAGTCTTTACGATGTGCTTAAGAAACGGAACTTCAAAGGCCTTAGTCTGACGGCTGTGCGTCGGTAAGTGTGGTAGTATTGATGTGTACACAAATTAGTAACAGGTACTGGATATGGTAGAGAGTCTGGATGCTTGTGTGGAATTGGTGCATATTTCGTTTTCTAGTTGTCTTAGAAAATAGTGATGTGAAACAGGGCCTTATCCCAGCTCTACTCTACGGCGATAGTCTGTACGATTTGTTAGAGAAACGCCACTTCAGTCGGACAGTAGTTGTACCGTAAATGTGGTGGTGTATTTGTGTGGTTGTGAACGTTTTGAAAGCTATCTTTTTTTGCAGTCTCCGGCGAAGTAAAGTCATTAACACGTTATAAGTAAGGTGCTAACACGTTATCGATAACACAATAGAAGTAAGATGCTAGCACGTAATCGATGATGCATGCTCTGTTGAGTGAGTGTCGAGTCACACAAAGCAGATATTTGCAGTGTCTCGCCCATTTTCTTTCTTATATGCGATATGGGCGATAGCGCTGTTGGCATTTATGCGGAGCCGTTTAGACTCGCTATAAAGCATCACCCATCTTTGCTGACATACTACACCCGTGTCACACGCCCCCCGTCTCCATCTACCTACAGCATCGCGCACGATGTGCTCAAGTGTCTGCTGCTACTGTCCCAAGAAAATATAGTACACACTGACCTCAAGCCAGAGAACATTCTGATCAACAACCACACACGGAATAAGAACCAGCTATTGGATTGTTCGCTGGCTACGCTGCGCACAATGACGCGCTTTGATGTGGCGTCTCCCCTGCCAGCGATCACGTCGCAGGAAGTGTACAATGCTACGGTGATTGATTTCGGCTGTAGTGACTTTGTGGGCAAGACAGGTATGTATTCGAGTATGTAGAAAACGCATGCCTGTGTATGTGCGTGTGTGTGCACTGTCGGGGACCAGCGCATGTGTGTGCAGGACGAGAACTTGCGAGTATATGGTGATGGTGAATAAACAAGATAGCGTTGTTGGGTAGTCTAAGATAGTGAGTGTAATTTGTTATGCGGCTATCAAAGCCAGCTCGTCCCTTGACACTCTTGTTCAAATAATGAAAACAATAATAATGATAATGATAGTAATGATAGTAATTATAGTAATAATAACAATAGTATATCAT